TTTGCTCCTGATCAGTCTTCTCTGCTTTGCAGTGAAGAATCAGTTTTACCCAAAAGAGGTCTGGCCTCTGAGCTGGCTCCCGGGAGGGAACCTCTAATCCTTGGAATCTCCCAAGTGACAGAAGTTCTTGTTCATGGGGGCCTGATGGTTTATGCTAATGAGGTGACTCAGGATGGGGCTGGCCAATCTGGAAAGACCAACCAGGTGCTGTTAGAGGTGGGGTGTTGAGCCTGACCTCTGGGGAGGACAGGGGATGGGGGGAGCTGGACACTGATCTTAACCACATGGCCGTCCTTCAGGGATATGCGACCCCAACTCCCCTCACCCCACACCCCATGGAAATTTGCACCCATTTAGTTGGCTGGCGCACCCAAGCACCTCCCAAGCTCCAGGCCCTGCCTGAAGGGGGAGGTGGGGATGGGTGACATCGAAGCTGACTGACTTGGGCCTGGGGGGCTGGAGTCAGGCTGAGCCTCAGGGAAACATGTGATCGTGTGCACAGAGGTGATTGGCTGGAGGAGACAGACAGGGAGGCTGCCCATCCAGCGTCCATCCACGAGCCGGGCCCCATGCAGGGATGGCAGGGCAAGGGAGATGGCGGTGCCCTAGAGAGACTCTTCCACACCTCGCTAACCCCTGCAGGGGTCTCCGACCACCCGTGTCCCTGTGAGTGGAGGTGAGCTGCAGTCCAGTCCTCTGAGGGCCCTGCCTCAATGACAGAGCCACGCTCAGAGAGCCCCTGGGGTCAGCAGGACACACGGTCATGAAGCCAAGTTGGATTTTCCTTGTCTCCTCCGCTGCCGTGGCCCTCAGTGTCATGGCCATCAGGGAGGTTGCTCACTGTCTTAACCTTCAGGAGACAGGAGATCTGATTAACATCATTAGGAAAAAACCCACTTAGAAACCTCATACCCAGCGTGGGCCATTATGCTGCCGGCACGGACTGTGTGACTCGTGTGACAAGGCCTCTCCTTGGCCGCACTCGAGTGAGGCTCGTCTGGGCCTCCTCGAGTAGACCTCTGCCTTGGCCTGTGAAATCTGCAGACCCGGCACGGATGAGTTTACCACCCCACGCCCTGCCCGCCCCCACACCACCACACACAGACTGGAATAAGTACTAGCATTGTTTCCAACAGCTCAAGGCTGCACCCCTAGGACGGTGACTCCAGACTCAGTCAGTTCCTGCCTGAGAGACAGAACCTGGTGATAGAGATGCCCACCCCGTCTCAGAGCAGTGACTTTAGACAGTGTGCAGTTGTAAGGCCCTCCTCTGCCCGCTTGGAGATGTAGATCTTCTCTTCCCAGGACTGCCTTCTCAGGGGCCCTAGAGCCATCCCTTTGAAAGGCAAACATTCAGGAAGACCCGTGCCTCCCGCAGGGGGAGGTGGGGAGGGCGTCGCTCACCTGCCTCCTGTCCTGAGGCCTAAGTGTGTTTCTCTGATTAATAAACCCAGACAGCCTCGTCACATTAACCCCCTCTTCCTGCTTTTGCAAACGTCCCCTTCCCTGACTGCTCGAGCCCCCGCTGCCCCCCACCCAGCTCCCTCACCCCCTTACAATGTTCAGCCACCTCTGCACAAGTGGTAGGGTTCCATTCATGCCAGATTCTTCCGTTAGGGTAGTTATTACTGAATGCAGTCTATCCTGATCTCCGTAACTAGGGTCCAGATAAACCATCCAGTTTATCTTCGACGCCGGCACCTACTTGCCAGGCCTCGAGCCAGGCAGCGGTGATCTTAGCGGAGGAAACCTGCAGGCCCTGCCCAGAAGGTGTGCCGGGCTAGCTGTGGGCCAGGTGCAGAGTTGAACCGAGTTGACAGAGTTAAATGGTTGAAGTGTTTCTCGACCTGGACAACAGGTATTTTCCAGAAGGAACACGGGAGAAGGCTGCCGGGCGGGAGGAGGAGCGGTGGCAAAGGCGTGGCAGGGTGACTGAGCTGGGAGCTTGTGGCCATGAGGCTGGCTGGGCGACAGAGGTTCTCAAACTCTCCTGGGCATCGGCCTCCCTCCCCCACCGACCCCCGGGGGCAGGTTGAAACATTGACCCCTGGGCCCCACCCTGGAGTTTCTGACTCCATAGGGCTGGACTTCAGCCTGTGAACCTGCATTTCTAACTGGTTCCTGGGCGATGCTGATGGGCAGGGCTCTGTCCCGTGGAACACAGTGGACGCCCAATTCCTGGGAAAGGCCAGGCTGTGAAAAGCCAAGCCTCTGAGGGATAAAGCTCAATATGTGGTCTTTTTGCTCCAGGAAGCAGGGGCAGGGGAGGGGCAGACACTGAGAACTTGTGAAGATTATAGCATGATGGTAATCACACGAGCACACAGTAAGAGAAAAAAATCGAACAGTGCGAAAGGGTCCGTGATGAAGCTGGGGTCCCCTGCCAGCACCCTCGGTCCCACGCGTGCATCGACCCAGCAGTGGGTCTGTGCCTGTTTTCCTCTCTTTCCAGGAGTGTTCCTCGTGCACACGCTGTTTTGAGCCCTGCTTTTTTTTAAAATATGAGACATCTTTTAGTTCTTTCCTCGTCCTGCGCATCTTGACTCATTCTTTTTAACAGCTGCCTAGCATCCCATCAACTTTATGATGTTACAGGTAGCAAACATCTAGGACTACTTCCAGTTTTGTTTTGCTCCCTAATTTTAAGTCTCAGTTCTGGTTATTGAGAACCCCCATGCCCATGTGACCGAAGACCAAGGCTTCCGGCTGTCGTCTGACAACGCAGCCTGGCTGAATTGTGACTCAGGTGTAGGGTTGCCAGATTAAACAATAAAAATATAGGATGCCCAGTTAAATGTGAATTTCAGATATGCCATGAATACTTTTTTAATGTAAGGATATTCTAAATACTGCACAGAGTGTACCTGTACTAAAAAATATGCGCTGTTTATCTCAAATTCACATTTAACTAAGTGTCCCCTGTTTTACCTGGCCACCCTACTCAGGTGGGCTGCATGTCTTCCTGAAGGGATGCAAAAGCCCGCCCTTGCAGGGAACACTCTGGAGGAAATGGGCTTTCCAGGTGGCCTGTGTTGTACAGGGAGAAAGGAAACTGCTACAGGGACAATCACCCAGTATATAGCAGGGAGGTTGAGAGCCCTGACTCAGAGCTGAACAGATCTGGACTCCAGTCTGGGCTTCACCACACATTAGCTGTGTGACCTTGGGCAAGTCACTTAACCTCTCTGAGCTCAGTTTCCTCATCTGTATCAAACTGGGACTGCTTTAAGGATTAAGTGTGCATAAAATTCTTGACATGGTTCCTGCTCTGTACATACATGAGATACATGCTCCTTACACAGTAGCTTTATGACAGCAAGTGGGTCCTTCCTGCTCACCAGGGAGTGCTCTTTCTCCAAGGAACCATAGTAAAAGCCGGGGGTGGGGGAGGACCTGGCACCAGTGTCTGCTCTGGGGCCACAGTTCTTAGAAAGAAGATGTGGAGGCTGGAGAGCAGAGACCCAGGGCAGCCAGATGGCCGCCTCCAAGCCTGCTGGTTCCTCGGAAATATTAATTCCAAGGAAACTCTTGGTCCGCTCAAATGACCCAGCAACAGCTTGAGTTCCGGAAAGAATGACTTTTATTAAAAAGCCAACAAGGATGTTCACAGTAGGGAATTCTGTGTCTTTCTGCAGTGGCTGTGTGTGTCAAGCACAGAGTGTTCACCGTAACCCTGCCCAGGGCTTTGTGGGAGGAGGTTAGCGCTCAGAGGACTGCGGTGTGAGTGTGCATGTGGGTGTGTGTGCAGGTGTGTCTGCTGCAGGGGCCTGGTGCGCACTTGATGATGGCGAGTTTTGACTTGAAGGCTATGGAGGTCGGTGGAGGATGTAGTTATGGGGGGGTCTGGGGCTGCTCACTCTGGTCAGCTCCACCCAGGCCCCTGGTGGGCACAGGCACCTGAGCTGTGAATCTTAAGCAGGTTAAGTTGGTGTAGAGCCAGGTCAGCACACTCTTTCTGTAAAGGGTGAGAGAGTCATTATTTTATGTGCCGGACGCAACTGGAATGCAGAAGCAGCCACGGACAAAGGGGCGCGGGTCTGCGCCAGTAAAGCTTTATTGATAGAAGCAGGCCATTGGCCCTCGGCTTGTAGTTTGCCGCTGCTGGCCTGGACCATTCCATGTATGAAGTGGTTCGGCTCCCTGGCCCTCTGGGAGGGAGTAGCTACGGTGCCTGTGGAGAAGGGAGGGAAGAGCGAAGAAGAGGGGTTTGCTGAGAAGAGCCGCCCAGCTGGGAAGAAGGCGGGGCCCCGAGCTGCCCTCCTCCCAGTCCCCACAGCCGTCCCTGGGAGGGACACAGGAAGGACCCTCGTGCTGTTGCAGGTGTGGAGAGCAGCCTGCGGGTGACCTGCTGCCGCCAGATCTTGCAGAGGCTTCCAGAACACAACTACGCCGTCCTCCGCTACCTCATGGGCTTCCTGCACGAGGTGAGTGGGCCGGGCAGGGCCGCGGAGGGGAGGCGCTCCGCTTGGAGCCCCAACAGACCAGGGTCCGGGTTCACATCCTCCTCGGGCTTGGAACCCCACTCAGGCCTCAGAGGACTCCATCCAAGGTCTGGCCAGGCAACAGCTTTGCTGAGAAACCCACCTGGCTGCTGGGCAGGGTCACCCGTGCCCGCCCCCACCCCCCTTGGACACCTGGTTGGTGCTGAGACCTTCCCTGTCGGGTCCCTCTGCTCCGCGCCCACCCGGACTGAGTGTCAGGAGCGGGGACATGTGCCCAGGCCAGGGATGGCGAGGAGTCTCGTGGCCGTGTGTGGACCCAGTAGGACATTCCTGTGAAGTTTCATGAGTTTCCTGGGGCTGCTGTAGCAAAGTACCGCACGCTGGGTGGCTTAAAGCAATAGAAATGTGAGCTCTCACCATCCTGGAGGCCAGAGGTCCTAAAATCAAGGACCGAGGTCTGCAGCCCCATGCTCCCTCCGGAGGCTCCAGGGGAGGGTCCTCCCTGCCTCCTCCAGCTCCTGGCGGCTCCGGGCGCCCCAGGCTTGTGGCTGCATCCCCCAGGCCCGTCTTACCTAGCCTCCCCTCCTTCGTGTGTCTCTGTGTCTCCAGTCTCTCTCTCCTTTATCTGATAAAGTTACTTGTCGTTGGATTAGGGCCCACCTGGGTCATCCAGGGTGCTCTCACCTTGAGATCCTTAACGTCTGCAAAGACCCTTTCTCCAGTACGGCCACCTTCGCAGGTTCTGGGTGGGCGTCTCTCTTGTGGGGCTGCCATTCACCCCCGGCACCAGGACAAGGACATAGAAGTGAGGAGCACCTTTCCCGGCTCTGGGTCCGGGCTCAGAGTCCCCATCCCGGGACAGGGAGCGGCAGTCTGTGAGGCCAACACGGGGAATGTCCACAGCCCCACATGGGTCCTCCCCCGGCACCGCCAGACCCACGTTCCCTGCTGTATAATCGCTTCCGGATCCCCTCCCCTCTCCCTTGTGGGTGGAGTGTGGACGCAGGCGTGGACTGGGCCGTGCCTGGCTGTGTGGGTCCCAGCCAGGGACCCCGAGCTTCTGAGCACCCGCAAGGCGGCAGCATTTCCAAGAGACCTGCCCAGGGTCTTCAGGGGCTCATGTGGGAGCCCTGCTTCATGGCAAGTGGCCTGAGGATGTGATGACCAGTGAGGGTGGAGGGGACCTCCGGGCAGAGCCAGTGTCACGTACTGGAGTCTGTCAGCTGATGCCACCTCTTGGTTTTAAAATAAACCACTTCATTCTCCCTCCCCCTCACTTGATTCCGTTTCTCAGAGGTCAACAGCTAAAAGTTTCTCCCCTCACGTTCTTTCTTCTCCTTTATTTTCACAATCTGGAGACAGATTTGTTTCTCAGCCCTCCCCCACGCCGCTGACATTCATACGTCCAGTGGGGCTCGGCGCTGCGGCATGCTGGCCCTGGTGTGCACCTGCAGGGGCTGTGGGGGCTGGTGGTAACAGTGACTGGGAGGGGAACTGGCTGGCTCACTGAGGCGTGCCTGGACATGTCTGGTCATCCTCTCTGGGTCCGTGTGGGTCACCTGGCTGTGTCCCCCTCACCCCAGTTTCTTCTCTTCCCTGGCATCTGTGGCTTCTGATTCTCAGAGGTTCTGGGACCTGGGAGCTGAGAAGAGAACAGGCTTTGCCCTCAGGTGAGCCCAGGTGTCCCTGTGGCCACTGACTAGCCATGTGACCTTGGGCAAGTCTCCTGGACCTTCTGGGCCTCAGTTTCCTCCTGTGTAAAATAGGCTTGAGGTGCCCCACTTCCTGTAAGTGTTGGCTGAGATAGGGGGACAGCTCCTTCGGGGAAGCAGTCTCCTTACACCCTCTCGTCAGTCCCCTAACAACCCTTGCATGCCAGCCGGTCTGGTCTCTGTCCAACTCACCAGCCAGAGCACGGAGGTCAGAGGTCATCTGGCTGGGTGACACTGAAGGTTGGGCTCATACACACTGTGCTCAAGCCCCCACCACGAGGGGACCGCCTGAGTCCTCCAGAGTGGAAGAGGAGATGGGGGGCTGCTGCAGAGATTCTAGAAGGGGACCATAGAAGATCAGAGCCAGAGGGCCCCATCAGGGCATCGGGAGACTGAGGCCCGAAATGGGGAAGTGGCTGCCCGAGGTCGCCACCCTGGCTGGTGGCTGCCTGCGTTCTGCCCACTGCTCAGAACCCACTGGCACACCCCTTGTGTTCTCACCCAGGTGTCCCGGGAGAGCATTTTTAACAAAATGAACAGCTCCAACCTGGCCTGTGTCTTCGGGCTGAACTTAATCTGGCCATCCCAGGGGGCTTCTTCCCTGAGCGCCCTGGTGCCCCTGAACCTGTTCACTGAACTGCTGATCGAGTACTACGAAAAGGTCTTCCGCGGCCAGGATGCACACGGGGAGCCCGGCGCCAGCGGGGCCGCCCGAGACGGACATGCCAGAGACAGAGCTGCTGCAGGGCCCGCCAGGCCCCCCGTGCCCCCGCGTCCCCTGCCCGCGGCTGGGAGACCCCTCTAGCACTGGGAGTGTCACGGTGAAGTCTATCAGTCTGCGCACGTGCATGCGTGCTGTGTGAACTTGCATTAAATGGCCTTCTGGTGAACCTTCTAGTAGGAATTCCATGGTCCTGAGGGTTCAGCCCTTCACACTGTTCCTGACTGCGGGCTGAGATAAGATGACGGGTCTGTGAGGACCGCGACCCAACCTGGCTTAACTGCGGTCAGACCTTTATGGGCTGGGCCTTGTGCCAGGCATCTCCTGCTGCCGTGATGCTGTGTGACAGACCGCAGATCCAGGGGCTTCAAACAGCGGCTCTTTGTCGTTGCCCACAGGTCAGCGGGGCAGTTCTGGTCCTGTTGGGATTGCTCAGTGTAGTCGGGCGAGAGGTCAGCGGGGACACTCAGGTCTCCTGCAGGCGTCACATTTCCCTTTAGTCGGCTGATCCAGGCGCTTCGTGCAACGTGGGCCAAGGCTCAGGCACAGACACTAGTGCAGCGTCTCTCTGAGCTTACGTGGTTCACTTGTGCTCACACACTGTTGGCCAGAGCAGGTCTCATGGCCAGGGCCAAGGTCATAGTGGAAGGGTTCTGCCACGTTAGCAAGGGGTGTGGATACGGGGAGTTGGAGAACTGGGGCAGCTGTCAGCCTGCCCGAGGGCTCCAGGACATGCTCTGGCCCTGCGATCTCAGGCTGGCTGGCCCCCAGCCTTGCAAGGTGGGCCCTGTGTTTCCAGCTTTAAATACAGTGAGGAGCGGTAGGAAGTCGTTGTTCTCCATTCCCAAAAAAGAGCCCCCAATTTCCCTGATCAGCCAGGCTTAGGTCGCGTGCCCACCCTGGACCAGCGCGGTGGCCAGGATGTGCACTGGTGGGCTGGCCTGAGCTGTGTGCCCTACACTGACCTGGCAGTGAAGGAGGGGGGTCCCCCGATGTGTCATTGTGCTGGGGCCACCATAGCAAATACTGCAGACCGTGGCATAAACAGCAGGTCTTTGTGTTCTCTCCATTCTGGAGGCTGAAGTCCAAGGTCAGGGTGCTGGCGTGGTCAGGTTCCCGGTCGGGTTCCGGTGAGGGCTCTCTTCCTGGCTTGCAGGTGGCCGCTTTCTCCCCCTGTCCTCACATGGCAGAAGAGAGCACCCTCTGGGGTCTGTTCTTACAAGGAGACAGATCCTGTTGGATCAGGGCGCCACCATGCTCCTGGCCTCATTTAGTCTTGACTACTTCTGTCCAGACTCTGTCTCCAAATACAGCCACACTAGGGGTTAGGGCTTCAATAGATGGATTTCAGAGGGACACAGCCACTCAGGCCACAACACCGAGTAATAACACCCTAGTGACGTGCCACCCTCCACAGAGGGTCGGCTGTGTGTCAGGCACTGCCAAGCCCCCCACTCTCTGGCTGCAGAGAGAACGGGGCTGCCAGGGAGCAGAGGACACATGTCCACTGCGGGGACACCATCAGCCAGTCCAGGACAGGGATAGGGTGTCAGTGCCCGACTGAGCTGTGACCCGGGTGTCTGCATGGACCCTTGGAGTCGCTGGGGGCTCCACTCTGGATTGGAAGGTGAAGGGGACTCATTCACCTCCTGCCTGTCCTCATCTCCACATTAACTCCACTCCTGACCTGTCGTGTGCAGTCCTCTGCTCTGCTTGTCTCCGCTTTCCTTGAGGGAGGGGACGTGTACCCAGCGAGTATCTCCCAGTGCCTGTCAGTGAATGAGTGACCCCTTGTGCTGAGGACCAGGCAGACTGAGGGCAGGAGAGCATCTGCCGGGAGTATTAATCCTACCTGAAGAAGTTTCTCCCCGTGGCGCAGGTGGGCCTATGTGTCTTCTCTGATCATCTCATTCCTGGTCTACAGATGAGGACTGGAAGGCCCAGAGAGGTGAAGGGCCTTGCTCTAAGTCACACAGCTTGTCCTCAGCAGAGCAGGGATTCAGGCCTGTGCATCCCTGTGCTGTAGGAGCCAAAGGGAGAGATGGGGCCTCAGTCTCAGCACATGTACAAGGGTGGGGGTGGTCACACTGCACACTCCCCTCCAGCTCTGAGGACACCAGCACAGAAGCCACGAGGCCTGAGCTGGGATCAGCTCCACCAAATGTCTGATCAGGCTGAACTCCCACCTGCCTGCTTCCTATTTGAACACAGGTGAACCATCCAGTGGGGACACCAGGGTTCATCCGCCCCGCGTCCACAACAGCAGAACATGGAAACAAAGTAAGTGTCTGTCGATGGATGAATGGATAAAGAAGATGTGATTACATATACAGTGGAATATCATTCAGTCCTGAAAAGTGAGGAAATCCTACCATTTTTGACAACGTGAATGGACCTTGAAGGCATTATGCTGAGTGAAATAAGTCAGGCAGAGAAAGACAAATACCATATGATATCATTTACTATGTAGACTGAAACACACAAAACACACCAACCTCACAGAAAAGGAGTTTTGTGGGTACCAGAGGCAGGGGGTGGGGGGAGGAGAAACTGGAGGACGCTGGTCAGAAGGTACAGACTTCAGCTCCGAGATGAATGAGTACGAGGGATGTGCCGTACGGCGTGCCTGCAGCTGACCCTGCTGCACCATCTGCAGGGAAGCTGCCGAGCGCAGCTTCTAAGAGTTCTCATCACAAGGACATTTTTTTTTCTTTTTACTGTATCTATATTGAGATGATGGATGTTAACCTATTGTGATGAACGCTTCACAAGGTATGTAAATCAGCCCTTCATGCTCTACACCTCACACTCAGGGATGTACTTTAGCTATTTCTCAATAAAACTGGAGAAAAAAAGGTTTGTCTGCTACACACTGTATTTTGGGTTTTTCCTGGTTGTACTGGAACTGTCTACATCGTTGGGTTTAAAACAGGTCTTGGTCCCCCCGAGGGCCGTCCCTGCCCCTCCCTCTGTGTGGCCCACTGGGGACACCTCCAGCGGCTGCAGTGGCCCTGAGCAGAGGGCACTGGTTTGTAGAACCCCCGGCACTCAGGCTGTCAGAGTCGCCGGCAGCCTTCCGGGCGGGATGACGTCAGAGGCCCCAGACCCTGCTTGCTCTGAGCCAGCCTCAGAGCTGTCTGGCCCCAGTCTGTGTCCTCCTAGTGCTGGGCTCCTGTCCTGTGTCCTGGGCATCTGGGGAGCCCCCAGGCTTTGCTGGTCTGAGCGGTATGGCCTACAGGCTTCTCTTCACCCATCCCCTCCCAGTGCCCTCTTCCTCACCACTCTTGCACCCCCCCACCTCTCTTCCTTGTCTGTCTTTGCCGTTCCTTCTAGCCCACCCCTCACAGCTAATCTCAGCCAGAATCATTCTCTTGTACGACTTGAAAAGTGATGATTGTTTCATTTCTTTTCTATTCTGCTACAAAGCCTTCTTTTTTCCCCCTTTCATCCTTTTTTCTTTTTTATAATACACAATCCTCCAGCTCCAACCAACCACAGCCAGGCACAGGGGGCCCAGACTGGGCCTGAGTGGGCTCCCCCAAGAGGAGTTCAGTTTGGAGCCCAAGGCAAACCCGCCGTCTGTCCCCTCCCCTGGCCTCAGCCTCTGGAAAAGCGGCTTGGCACCTGCTCCCTCGCCCCCAGGAAGGTGTCTTGTACTCATACAATTCAGAGCAACCCTAAAGCGGCCTCGGAGTTCTGTTGCCAGGAAAAAAAAAACTGAAATAAAAATGATGTCTCCCTGAAGAGCACACCACTGCGAACACCAGAATTAACAACGACATTAAATCAAATCTCATGCATTATGCAGAGAGGTTTACAGTGCAAAGCACATTTGTGAAATAGATGTTTCAAATTTTCTGACTCCGAGTGGTGGCCCCAAGACGTTCTCCTGTGGCTGCTTTGATAACAGTCTCCCTTTCACAAACGATAATTGTGGAATCCTAGCTTGAGCACGGCGTGGCCCTGTCACCTTCCCTGGGATCAAAGCGAGAGAGCGATTACAGTGATAATGTTTTGGAAGCACACACGGCGCATATCAGCCTAAAACAGTGAAACGTGATGTAGAAATGAGGGCTCTAGGGTGTCTCTCCTGACAGGACGTGTGAAATAAATTGTCCAAACAGTCACTTTTGCAGAAATGGCCGAGATTTTAAGTGACTCCAGAGATTAGGCAGGCTGCCCAGAACTTGTAGCCTGGCGTCCACCAGGAACGAATGGATCCTGCCCAGAACAGGAAAGTCTGTAAGCAAAGCAAGTGACTGGTCTACCCTGAAGAGAGCCAGGCTGCTGTCATCGGGGAGCCGGGACTGGGCACCCCACTTCTGGTACAGCTGAGACTCCCGGCTGTGTGACCCTAGGCAAGTCATTTTGTACATTGGGAAGAGTCCAAAGTCAGAAGACTCAGCGTGTGTCTCTGCCCCCCACCAGAGGGACGCCTGGGGTAAGTTCTCCGAGCGTTTTCTCCTTTGTAAAATGAGAACAATGCTGCCGTCCCCTGTGTGCTTTTAAGCACCTGCTTTATTTTTTTTTAATTTTTAAAATTTATTTTATTTTGTGTTGGTGGGGAGGTAATTAGGTTTTTAAAATTTATTTATCTTTAATGGAGGTACTGGGGATTGAACCCAGGACCTTGTGCATGCTAGGCACACAGTCTACCACTGAGCTAGACCCTTCCCCCCTTTAAGCACCTGCTTTATGCCAGGCAGTGTCAGTCTCACGAAGACAGAGTTGAGTCGGATACATTTCCTGCCTTCAAGGGGCTTGCAGAAGAGTTGGTGAGAAAATAAATAAACACAGGAAATAAGTCTTTCTAGAGCTAAGGCTGTATGCAAAGGACACAGGCAGGTGCGGGAAGGAGACAGGAGACAGAAGAGGATCCCGGGAACCTCCTAGTTTTCTGGCTTGAGCTGTGTGGGCCTCTGAGGGTAGTGTTCTCCCCTGAGATGGACTGGGTTTAAGAGGCAGAGAGAGCCTTGCTATTGGTTTGATAACAAAAAGCTTTAGTGTTTTAAGACAAATAATTGCTCAGAGGGGAAAAAATATTCAATGACAGAAAGTGCAAACAAGACAGTGAGCATTGTTCAAATTTTTACCACCCGTAGATAGCCATTGTTACTGTTTTGAGGAATGGGCACTTTCATATGCTGCTGGATGAGCGGTAAATTGGTTCAGTCACTTTGGAAAGCAATTTAGCAAGCTGTAAGGTTAAGGCTGATCCAGCAATTGTAAGTCTAGGGAAAGAACCCAAGAGGTAGGTCCAGAGCGTTACTGCAGCATTGCTGGCAGAGCAGATAATTAGATGCAGCCGGAGTGTCCAACAGTATAAGAAATGGCAGGTGAATCAAAGTTACATCCATGCGATTGCATAGTGTCCTTCAGTTCACATGATAAACTGGGTCAGTATGTTTCAACATGGGTAGATCTCCGAATACAATACTAAGAGGGAGAAAAGTTCAGAATGATCAACACAGGTACCGTCACTTGTGTAAAGGTTTAATACTCCCCAGTCCTATGTACAGCTTATGAGTTGAAAATATTACCCTTTTTGAACAATATACAGAAAGAATTTTTAAAAAGTGAATAGGAAGGAGACACACCAAATTCCTCATGGAGGAGAGGAACAAGAGTCTTTAATAGCTTCTATCTATCTAAATTTTTCCAAGTATTCTTAGTATAGCTAAGTGTTCTGCCTCCAGTATGGCTGAATGACTCTGTTGGGACTTGACTTTTCCATAGACAGCATCTAAAAACTTTAGACAAAATACAAAGGAACACAAGTAAACAAACAAACAGAAAATCAACAGTGACTTGAAGGCACTGGAGTATGAACCAGGACAGATCCCAGAGGGACATCCACACTTGGCAAAGTGAATGACGTGGGATGATCTTCCATTATGTGGCTTTTAACCAGAGCCCTCCCAAAGTTGGCAATTCCGATAGAATGGCTATATCTCCAATAGAAAATCACAGTCTTTTTGGCTTGAAAAACAGAGGACAGAGTTTGGGACAATCACAGTCCCTAGAAGGTGGGTAGGGAATTCCAGACAGGAGAGAGCCAGACAGGGAGATCCTGCGTTTTGTGCATAAACTGCTCAAACTTTTGCCTGATCCCTGAGCCACACTTGTGCAGGACAGACACCAGCTAATGATAAAAGAACTGAACTGAAGTTTGAGCTACCAATGTACAGAGTTTGCAGTTTGAGTCCATCCAAGTTCAATGCCTGCTAAAGCAAACAAAACCCAGCACTCTTCAGAGGAATATGACAGAACCCAAGGTCTCTACAACATAATATTCACAACATCCAGGATACAATTAAAAATTATTAATCATACGAAGAAACAAGAAAATGCAACTCACTCTAAAACAATCAGTGGAGACCAACCTTAAAGTGATGTGGGTGTTGGAAACAGCAATCAAGGATGTTACAGTAGCTATTATACACATCTTCGAGTACATAAAGGAAAATGTGCTTAAAGTAAATGCAAAGATAGGAAATCTCAGTAAAAAATTAAAACATAGCTATTAAAAACACAGGGAAATTATTGAGGGGGAAGGTAATAGCTCAGTGCTTCATGAACGAGGTCCTGGGTTCTATCCCCAGTACCTCCATAGAAAATTAATTAATTATTTTTAAAAACATGGAAATTCTATAAGAGCAAAAACAATACCTGAATTTTTTTTTAAAGAAAAGACAAAAAAGAAACCCACTGGTTGTGGTTAGCAGAAGAATGGAGATGATAGTAAAGAGTTGGTGACCTTGAATCTACACTGATGGAAATTACCTAATCTGAAGAACAAAGAGTAAAAGCATTGGGAAAATATGAACAGAGCCTTAGAGACTTGTGAGACAATATCAGAATGTCTCACCCATATTTGGAGCTCCAGAGGCAGAGAAGAGAGAAAATAGGATACAAAAAATTTTTGAAAATTAATAGCCAAAAATATCCCCGATTTGATGAAAGACATAAATTGTCAGATTCAATAATCTCAAGAAACCCCAAGATGGATGCAAATCAAAGAAAAATACACCTAAACACACTATATAGGCTTTTGAAAGCAAAAGAGAAAGAGAAAAACTTAAAGCATCCAGAGAACAAGGAAACATTGCACACAGAAGACCAAAGATGGAAGTCAGCCGACTTAGCAGCAGAAGCTATGATGGCCAAAAGACAGTAGAACATAATCTTGTTTCAATACAATAAAGGAACAGTAAAGGGCCAAGGGAGGAGGGAAAATTCCAGAATTCGATGTCAGCCAAAAATACTCTTCAAGAATGAAGATTAAAAAAACTTTTTGTAAAAGAAAACCAAGGAATTTTTTTCCACTGGCAGATCTGAATTACAAAAAAAAAAAAAAATGCCAAAGGAATTTCTTCAAGGTAGTGGAAATGACAACAGATTGAAACTTGGATATTTAGGAAGTAATGGAGACTATTGGAAATGATAGATATCTGGACTATATAGACCAGTACTTTCCCCTCTTAATTTAAAAGATATAAACAGGATTGTGTGAGGAAAAAATGTATAATATTGTCTGACAGGATTTATAATATATGTAGGTGTAATGCTTATGACAACTGCAGCACTAAGTACAGCAGAAAGGGGCTTGTTTCAAGGTTTCTACCTTCTATGTTAAGTGGTACAATATTAGTACTAAGTGAACTGAAAAGGTAAGGATGTATACTGTAATCCCTAGAGCAGCTACTAAAAATAATGCAAAAAGACAGAGCCTTGAAAATAAAGTAAAAGTGACTTCTAAACAAATATTCAGAAAATTTAAGTAAGGCAAGAAATGATAAACAGGAGGGAAAAAACCAGAGGGGGCAAAAAAATAATAAAA